TCTTCCGAAATAAACCTAATGACTCTACACAGTAACATAAAACAACAAAATAAGAATAACAAAATGGCTTCTAAACATTTGGATTCCGACAGATTACTAGATGAGCATATGCTATTCCACCTTGCTGATATTGAAAGTATCTGATGTATAATAAAAATTATGTTTATAACACAGAACATACGCCGTTTATAATTGTATAAACTCTTCATGCATGTTATTTTTAAAATTAAACATTTGTACCTAAAACTACGTAATTAGATAAGAGTTAAAGAAACGGAAACGGTAGTTCAAATAGGAAATTCTCTATAACTACATTGGTTATCATTAATTAAGGAAACATCATGAAAATGACAATTACTCAACAAGTTGCATGTAGAATTTCATAAAACTGAACTATACTATACAACTCATAGTAAGGTATACAACTGCATGAAAAGAAATTATCAGGCAATTACGGTGTAATAGGAATCAACATATGTATAAAATGAATAAATAGGATGTGTCAATTTGGTATAGGGAAATTACCTCCGATATGAGGTTTGATCTCTCCAAGAAGCAATATAGCATATACTGGTATGTGTGATTCTGTCAATTATATCATCTGTCAGTTCCGTAGGAAGTAAGAGCCATTGCTCTTGTAAAGCACGTGCAAGCGTGGCAAGGATCTGATGAGGAGGATTGAGAGCAACTATAAATCTTCCTAAAGCATCTCAAATATGTTCGATAGGATTCAGATCCGGTGAAAGAGCTGGCCACTCCATGCACTGAATGCTTTGCTACTGAAGATAATCATCCGCGATGCGAGTCTTGTGTGATCTAGCGCTGTCGTCCTGTAGCAGTAAATTATCACCTGTTGCCTCGGGATATGGGCGCACATAAGCATCAAGGATGTCATCTTCATAGTCCTCAGCATTTACGGTTCCGCGCGAAAAGACATGGAGGTCTGTGCTTCCACTCCAAACACAGACACAAAGATATACCTAAACATAGACACTGCTTACGACGTATACAATCTTCTTTACGCATGTTTGATGGATGGTAACGGGTTTCATTTCCTATCCAAATCAAATAACGCCTACTGTCGCTTTGAAGGCTAAACCTGAACTCATTTATAAAGATTTATATAATCCTCCGTTGATCAGCCATTCATATGTTGAAGTGCCCACCTCAAACGTTCCCTTCTATGGTGACGTGAGCGGCACGCAAATGACTAGTTGCCTCGCGTACAGACCTTCTTCGTGAAGCCTTCTACGCACAATTGACGTTGATACCAACTATCTAGTGGCTGCAGCAAGGTGGGATCTGAGTAGATTCGGAGATACAGTTCTTTCCTAGCGGAACCTCTTAGAAGCCGAATATACAGTTAGAAATTGTTGCCGAAGTCCATGAATCACAGAAGAACTCGCATTTTATCCACCTTGTTGCTTCTGTCTGACTTAGTCCTGCCTCTATTCTCCCAATAGTTCTCCATCGCAGTTCTTCGGGCAAATTATGCCTGGAGGTTATTGTTACGAATTTGCTATTCCAGATTTCATATCTCAGTATCACAGCGGCATTTACAAGCTTTCTCTCCAACACGCAATTTTATGTTCCTCGCAGATGACGCATTCCTATTGCAGCTCTACTAATTTGCTTACTGCATTTTTAAAATAATTTTAACAACTATTATTTTACAACATATTCAAATTTTATACGAATTGGCTTATTTATAATGAGTTATCGCTGTTCTTGTGATTTTTCCATGAGTTTTCGAAACCAGTGTATATGGCTATTTTTAAGTTATTATAAATCTTTTCTATTTTAGAAAAAATAGCATTTTTAGATACGAGGCAAGTAGTCTTCGGATTAATTATGCCCAAAGACTTGAAAAAGTCACTAACTCCTTAGTTTTTTAAGTCATTTTTAAATAATTAGGTACTTTGAGATTCTCAACGGGGAAAGTGCGAAACCATTAAAAAAATACCCTTTCTATTTACCAAATACAGTTATATGAAAAATACAAAATAACTTTTTTTGTTATTTTGATATGGTGCTTGTAAGTCTAGAACCGTTTTGTAAAATTTGATAATAATACGTGCTGTGCATTTCTTGACCAGTAAATGCTAATTTAAATTAAATTAAATCGAAATACTGTATATTTATTTTGTAAATACAGAAAAAATGCTCAAAATTATTATAAATTATTAAAATTATCTTATAAATTAATTTAAAGCTACTAAGTTATCTTTTGTGTTATTTACAGCGATATTTATTGTAAAATATACTTGCTTAATTTACAGGTCATAAATGAATTAATTTATAAGAAGCTTTTACAGGTAGATAAAAAATTCGGTAGGACAATAGAAATAATAATAAATAAATATTCTCAGAATGAATCTAAATCAGATTTGGCTCCTATACCAAAGGTTTTATGCTGTTCAATACAAAAAAGATTTAAAGATATTCCTAATATTAATATAAAAACATATTTGTAGGAAACAGTTTTTTTATTATTCCGATTTACATGTTCTGTTTCACAAAATATTGATTAAGCTCTCAATATGATTTTCGAATTCAAAGACTGAAATAGGGAAAAAGTATTTCATTATAAAAAATACGTTATAAGCCTCTTGTAAATAACAATATATAAATTAATTTAGGATGTATTTGTTATTTTCGATATATATATGAATGAATCGAATGTTTTTTCATTATTTATTCAATACTGGAATGCTTTGGGTTTGACATATATCAATGAAAATGAATTTGGAATCACGAATTTTTTAAGTGCGTCCAAAAGTTTTAAATTTTTAAAATTCTTACGAACTTCAGAATGAAACTTTAATTTCGCATAATTAATGCAGTTTGTTTTCCTCGAAGCGAAGAATTTAAAGATATGTGAAGGAAAAAAACTGATTTTACTTTGACGAATATGTCGTGCGAAAAAGGAAAATTATAAAGATATTCGTTTACTTTCTGAAGCGCATTAGAACAGAAACTTAGAAATGGGAAACTATTATTAAGTTTCGATAGATTTTTTTAATATTTTAATTTTGAATCGCCAAGAAAGAATACTTTCGCATTTTTACTTCCTTGTACGAAGTAAAAAGGAAGTATTGTAATCGCGAAAAGTTTCAAAGCAGCATATTTCAACGAAAATATCCATTTTGACCTCTATCGAATAACAGGAAATTTAACGATGTTTTTGTGTGATATTTGTACGTAAGGACAGAATAAAAGACTCGTTTCCTCCAAAAAAATTATAAAACTGCTTTAAAATTAATTCTGAAGAGAATCTTTTGTGGCGTCTGTACGAACGTATGTACGTACGTATCTCGCATAACTCAAAAACGAGTAGCCTCAGAACGTTGAAAATTTGTATATAGTACTGCTATAACATGTAGATGTGCACCTCGTATTTTGGTAGCAATCGGCAAACGTATATAAATATATTTATATATATATCCACTCTGTTACTCGGCTCAGTGATCTCAGTTTCTTTACTCTTATATGTTGGTAAATTGTACATTTTGTGCTTTAAAAATGATTGAATTATGTTGTTTTTATCTTCAGGTTAAGGTTTTTATGCCTTTAGTAAATCTGTATGCAATATGTTTAGAATTATCAACAATTTTAAAGTTGTTTAAGCCCGTTGATTGTTTACATTTGAAACAGCAGACTAGTGGATTTGTTGCCAATCTAGAGAAACTTAGCTTCGCAACAACAAAGATAACGCCTTCATTTATTATTGCCAATTAAATCATGCTTAATCCTTTCTGGAATTTTTTCGAGGAAATAAGTGTTTAAGATTTACTTCGTAAATTTTAATATGGATATTTTGAATGTTTATGTATTTTTGCCTTCTCGCGAAGTGTGAACTGAATTAATTGAATGAGAAATACTCAATCGTCTGTGAAAAACTGTTTCTTTTTTGTTTTGTTTGCTTAATTTCTTTTATACATCATTCCAGCTTTATTATAGTATTTGAATAGAATATGCGGCAACGATTAGATACTTCTATTCTGTAAATGATATAAATTTTGCGCATTATGAGTTATAATAGGAACGAAATATAATACTGTTAAGTGAATCTAGCGCTAGAGTGTCGCTATGGTAAACAAATACTGGAGTGAATTTTAAAGAATGCATTTATTCTATTGTGGTTTATGCGCTGTCGTCGAAGTAGATTTAATTCAATCCAATAAATTTAAATGAAATGCAAGAAAAATTGCGTATAATTTAATATTCCGTACAAGGAAGTCATGTAGTGTACACATCAGATTTTTTATAGTTAAGAACGTAAACGGATAACTATGAAGCTGAATGGGAAAACTTACATTAAACGACAAGCACTTTGTGTACTAAATTGGTTGTTAGTAGTTTGATTAATTATTTTTAAATTAGTAATTTACCTTGTAAAAATTTAGTGTCACATATTGTGATATGTTTAAATTTTCGCATGTCAACTGTTGTGGCTCAGTTGTCAAATGTTTCAAAAGATGTTGTATAGTTTCGTTTGCTGATTAATCACAAATTCATGAATTATTTTAACAAAATAAAACATTTCTATCACATAAATTGAAATAATAAATGCAAATGCGAACAACACACATACAGATTGTAAAATGAGGAAATGGTTAAATTATGCTCCATTGTCTTACACATACTTGCCATCAAAATTCAAACAACTCCAAAACGTAGTAATGACGTTTAAAGAAACTTACAATGTATTTTTAATTTTTGACAATCTGGCAAGAATTGCCGCATACAAAGGCTTATCATAATAATATCTCATGCCCATTATGCACATTCGAGTAAAAAAAAAAACAATCAATTCAGTGCTATCATACAAATGTAAACAACATGTTTCACGAAAAAGAAGGCAAAAACTTCGAAAAGAAATAATGTTTTGTGTTAACCAAAACAGCCAAATAACAGGTAATTCTTGGGATGAACAACCAATTGTATTCAAGGTTTAATGAAACCAGACAGGAAAAACAAATACCTGATTTAGAACTTACCGATTGTGTCTGCTGCGGACGAGTTGAGACGTAGCTCTCCTGCACCATTTTCACGATTTTCATTTGTTCCTCTTCTTCCGGCTCATTACCTCGACTCGCAGTATCTGCAAAAGCAATAAGACGTTCTCGTCAGATCGGTGCAAGTATTTTACAATCAAGAACATAATCAAACATTTTCATTTAATTTCTCCCTCAGGATCTTAATGGCACGCTCCAGATGCATGCGTAATCAGAAAAGCATTTGCCCTCGTCAGGTATAAATAATGGTTACAGCGTAATTTTCTAATGAAGCGATGGAGGCAATCAGTGCAAGGCTATAGCAGAAGCAGTTGGGAGCAATGTTATTAGTTTGTTATTTGCACTTGTTGCTGTGAGGATATGTATCGCCGATATTGCAGGAGCTACTATGAATGGATTTTAGTTTTCTAGCGTCCATTCTACTGCTTAACGGTAGGAATCATTTACAAAATCGTTGAACATCATCATTTTACGAAACCTATGTAGAATCTATTCGTATTCTCGGACACGTTATTTTACTTCTTTTCTTTATTTTCCGTGATTAATATTTATATTATTTCTTGTGTCGTGCACTTTCTGTTTATTTCTCATGCTGTTTGTGGTTGCAAGGTTGTGTTTAGGGTTTTAATGATGGATTTATGCCAAAATACGCGCTTACAGTTTTATTATATAACCAACTATATCAGATATTCAATCATTTCCTAAATGTTTAGATATTTTAGTTAATGTTGAGAAGAGAACCGATACCTGCATTTAAACTGGAAAAAGATAACTACAGATTATATTGCTTTTTTATAAACCTACAATGAAAATAAATTACAATGTATTCATAAACATCATTATATTTTTAACGATTAAAATGTAAATATAATTTACCATTTTAAACTTCTTTTGCATTTTAACTTGGTACAGACTTATATTGTAGAATTATAGCGTGCGTAGGGGTTCGTAATAGATTGAATACACAAGTCCGATAATAGGTTAACAAAAATTTATTTTTATCAAAGAAATATTTCAAAATTCTGAAATTTTACACAGAAATATTCTACAAGTGTTAACAGTATCATACAGTACAATCAGTAGTCACATTTCAAACTACAGAGATCGTTATACGCAGCGCAATGCAAAGCGCATTTAAAGAGAAAGCTAACTGAGATTTATCTCAGATCACAAGGAAATACAACTCTCAATAACAATAACTAAGCAACTAAACTCAGATGCTCTCTGTCCGAGATTTTATAGTTTTCAACCGGCCGTCCAGACTTTCTAGTACTTTACGAAATTCCTGGAAAGCAATGCGAGGGTAGAATTATGGTTACAGCTAATAAAATGGTCAATTACATTTATTCTATTTCAGAACATATTACAGTGATACAGGGAGTGAGCCAAAATATCGCCAAGTCTGGTGGCCCAATTTCTTGCCAAATTTGGCAGCAGAATAAGTCGCCAAAACCATTGTCAGCTTTGCGATATCTCGCAAAATTACCGAGATACCCCTCTACGCAATGTTAAATGCACTTGCCCCTGTATTCTTAATTTTCCGGTTTAGCTTTCTCTTAAAATTTGTTTCGAGTTTCATTACACAGAAAAATACAGAAATTTAACATATAACTGCACTAATATGTACAAAATTCGTAACAGTATATATGTGATTAATTAAAATTTCGACTGTGCAGATAGCTTTATTCTTCAAGAATAGAAATTTTGCAGAAATTGCAGTATTTTTAGCGAACAGGAGAAGAGTTTGCGAGACTAAGTATAATTAATGTATTAGTTTTTAATAGGATGCACACTATTATCGGCATATCAAAAGAAATTCATTGCGCATCTTTTAACAAGGCACAGGACTCCACCTCCATTACTAATATGCTAATTTTTTCTCTTTATCACTTGACATCAAAGTATTTATGCCAACAGGTTGAGTTTGAATATTTAGCAAAGTATGAACTTAAGAAAAAATAATATGGTTGAAAAGCTTTTAATATTTAAAATATTTCATCAGAAGATGAATAATGCTTCCGAAAGTATGTTCTACAGACATCTAATCAGGATATCAAAGCTTTATGAAAAAACGTTATCTTGAAAGAAAATTTCCAGTTAGTAACAACAGAAGAAAAAATTACGGGATGCTTGTATACGCATACAGAAAAGAAACTGGCTTTAGAAGTTAACGTCCTTATTTTAAGATATAGCATAAATTAAAGACTTCAGGTTATATCTTTATACTGTAATTATTCAAAGGAATTATAATGAAATAGATAGTTAAAGAGCTTTTTTTAACACATCGCTATCTAATATAAAATTATTTTGTATGTACTAAACACTCTGAACAAGTACACAGAGTTAATGGCTATTTGAACTGAAAATTACATGTTTTATATGTCTGCTTTGTAACAGTTTAAAATCTGTCTGTTTATTATATGAGATGTGGATTGAAATTCTAAATTTAGAGCTTTTGCTGTGTCTGGGAAAATAAGACTTTTAAGTGACGCTTAAAATCGGCTGTTCCAGAGCAGCGTGACTATATGCTATGTACCAAAGAAGACTTTTATTCCTCTAACCCTTTCCGAGCATTCGATGTACGAGAAGAAGAGAAATATGCCCTTTACTGATACTTAAAGATTTAAAATCCATAAGAAAAGGATTCCTGAATTGTTCCGACGATTTCTCCAAGTGGCTATGAATGCACGGATAATATTGTTGAAAAATTCGTATTGCAGAGTTGATATATGTATTTCTGATTAGGACATTAACAGCGCAAATAAATACTACCAAAATAAACTACTGCATTAGAGAAATATGTCTGCATGTTTTTCTTTGTCGCTTTTAAATGAGCTCCTAATAGAGGTAGCGACGGAAAAGGATTTATATTTTTTGTGTAATCAGTACAGCAATGCTTCAAAATTTCCACTTACAAGCCATTCGGATATACAAATACTGGCTAATAAAAATAATATGATATCTCCAAATGCACTATAAAGTGAAATACAGCAGCTGTTTCGTAGCATAACCATAGAATTAAATTAACCGTTTCTATCAAATTTCATATTCAAACATTGCTTTTCTTAAAGTGGACGTGTAAACAATCGCGATGTAGTTGAAAGCATAGAAATAAGATATAGCATAGAATTTTATTCAAAGTAAGATTCAGCAAGATTCTTTTATATAGTTTTGCAAGAGATGAATTTTATGCAAATATTAAATATTATTGAAACATGTTCCAAAAAGTTTCGTTATGAAACAATTGTACCAGACAATCTTATACAAGTATGAGCGATAAAATATTTTAACGAAACCAATGGGAAAATTATGACTAATATGAAGAGAATTTTTGCTGATATAAAATGATGTACAAAAAGGTTTACTAAATAGAAACATTGTTCCTGATATAATACAATTATATATATCACTGTTTATTATTAGAAGATAATAAAACATGTATTATAAGAATTCTTTAAAATATGCTTTTATCTAACTTTATGTAAAAGCGAAATCTCATTCTAAATCAACCAAAAAATTTCTTATATTTCTATCAGAAGAAAATTGTTTTAAACCTTTTAACTTATATCCGCAGAACACTAAAGACGAAGATAATGTAAAGAGAAAAGAACAATGAAAAACAGAACAAAGGAAAAGCTATTTAAAAATGTTCTTAACTATTAAAAATGAGATTTAAGGAAGGGTATTTAAATTTTAAATGAATGTGAAGAAATGACACATATAAGAATGTTTCTTGAGATTGTACTAAAATATTAAAGAAACTTATGATAAAAGGTCCCTGTAAATGTAGCTAGTAAAAAGATGAAAATATTTTCTTAATCATACAGGTTTTTTATTATAAAGTAGCATTATATAATCCTTTTAATAGAAATGAGCATTAAGAAGGAACGTACAGTTCTAAATGTAAGAAGAAAAACACATGTAAAATACATATTACAGAAAAATAAAATCGAGTAAAATATATTCCTAGATTTCTCCAAAAATCTTTAACTAATTAAATGAAATAAATAAACAATGAAAAATAACTCTAAAATAAGAAAAAAGATACGAATTACTTAGCAGGACTCAACAAAGAACACAGAAAGTTATAAGAATCTACACTGATAATTCGTTGCTACGTATTTTGAAAATCTGATGAACATCCAAAATTATTAATCAAGAAGTCAAACAAGAAAAATCAGCCTTATATTTGCAAATTTTCACCATCACCCTCAGCTGCCAAAGTGCAAATGAAAAATTTGTTCGCTTAAACCATCGAAACTAGTCCTGTGAAAGTTTACAAATATAACGCTTATTTTTGCTTTTTGACTTCTAAATTAATATTTGTTCGGCGTGTTATTTTAACCTAAATCCAAAATTATGTTGGCTAAAATATTTCAACTATTTAAACTAGAAAATGAAAAGACTTAATTATAACAAAAAGAGTTACCGAGCAACCGATGCCCTTAAAAACTCAAAAACCAATATTATATACAATTTTAATATTTTGACCATAGGGGAAAGCTGTTTAATTAGGGATCTAAACCAAAGGTTTTTATCAGAGAAAAATGCAATGGGGATACATGTTCCTGTGACTATGGGATACATGTTTCCTGTGACAGGGATTACTGTAAGAGCAAGATCACTGATAAAATAGTTTAAGATTTACACATAAAACATCTTTTGATACAATTTCAAGCGAAGTATCGTCTTTAACTCATGTTCAGTAGTAGTAAAAAAGTAATTAAAAAGCGTCTCGTATGATGGTAACATAAATTATTAAAGCCTCTAATAACCAACTAATGAAGCAACAGTCTGAATTTCGGAAGCTTTCGTAAGCTATCAATGGTGAAAAGAAGATTTCAGACAATATTTAAACTGAAAAAAAAATTGCTGATGGTTTTCATTTGATCTATAATTAAATAAAAAATTAATTTAATTAAATAAAAAATTAACTCTGTAACTGCAAAGTAAAAGATTTAAAACCAATAAACTAATAATTTATATCTCCATTTTATTTCTACAACAACAGAGATAATAATCTAAATCACGATACATCTAATGCATATAATTTATAATATATTCATCTGATATCATGTATAATACA